TTCTCTGGGCGGCGTACCCGATTGATCTGCTTCTTCCTCGGGCTCCGGTTGGAGCGCTTGCTTGGCGGGGACGGCGAGTTGGACCTGGGGGAGAGGTTCCCTAGGTGGTGTCGACTGTCGGTCTGCCTCTGCCTTGGACTCTGGCCGGGGGGTCGACCCAGCGGAATTACCAGGTGGGACCTGGGGGACGGCTTCCCCAGGTGAAATGGGGTGATGGTTTACCACTCTCACGTGCTCTGGTCGGAGCATCGGAGCGGCGTCGACGCTAGTTTGGACTCGGGGCGCGGGTCCCCCAGGTGGTGAGGACCGCCTCGATGGTGATGACTCCCGGGGTTGATAGCAGCTCTCCATCGGCTCGGCCTCGTCGATGGCGGACAGGTTGAGGATTTCCTGGGCGGTTCTACGGAACTCCTCGTCGCTGTCGAATCTACGAACAGCGAGAGGAGTGCAGATTTATTGTTGGAACAGCCGGTGTTTTGGGCCCTCGAGAAACAGGCGGCGAAATAGCTGGTGCTGTCGGGCGACGTGGATGTCGAGGTCGTCTTGCCCGTCGTACGCATTTGATGTAAATTCGTCCACCAGGTCGGAAAAATTGTTTTGTACCGAAGTCGGTTCGCAAGCGCCTCCACAAGTCTGTGACACAGGCGTGTTCATGGGTGTAAAGTTTATTACGGCTGGCTGCGGTAGCTGATGGTACGCCACCAGCACCTGGTGCCGGTGGCTAAGCTACCCGACTCCACGAAAGTAGGTTTCCATTCCTGCGATGAAGACCTCCGGGTCCTCGGTGGAGTCACCCTCGAACGTAGGAAGATAATTTTCTTCGCGAACGATCGGGGCTGGTGTGGGAAGCTTGGTGATGGCGGCAACGGTCGGCATCTGTCGAGCGAAATGCTCCATGAAGGTTCTGCAAATAATTTTTGTGAGGCCGGCTATATTGCCACCCAGCGGAAGTGGTGACCTCGCGGGGCCCGCGGCCTCGCTGGGGATGTGTGGTGCTGTAGGCACACTGGAGCAGTCGCCAGATGGAAGCAGTTGCTTCGTGGCGATCGTGTGCTGGGGTTCCACCACCTGGATAGGCTGCGCCAGGTGCCTGATGGGAGCCGTCGTTGAAGAGGAGGTGGTCGTCTTGACGGTGCTGACCTTCGGTCGGAACGAAGTCGAGGATGTAGACTTGGGGCGGCATTCTGCGGGCCAAGTCGTTTTTTCTTATGTGGAGCCTTGTCTTCTGGGAGTTGAGTTTTATTTAATCTATATGATTATATTCACAGACGAACGACGAACTTCGAACTATCAGCGGAGCTCCTCACTTCGTTCAACTACGACCTTTTAATTAAATTCACTCTCTTTCCTATTACATATCAAGCAAGTGTTTTTCGCATTCGAATCATCGAGATACGGCGAATTTATGACGGCGGTTCTCTGTTTGCTGTGTCGTGCGTGATGTAGTTGTTTGTTTTGTTTGTTATGTATTTTGTGTTGCCGACCACTGCGCTGCGCTCCACGATGTTCGATGTTTGATGTTCGTTCGTCGGATCTTAGCACTTTCGCTTCGACGTTTCGATTTCTCGGATCCATTTCGATTGCTTGTTTACCCTTATCATCAGGCAACGGCCATACCATGTTGATGGCACCAGTTCTCGTCCAGTCTCGCTCGAGCAGTCGAGCAAGTCAGACGTGTTCCGTGCTCTAGCAGCGTGAGTCATCCCATTGCATCAGCCAAGCGACCGCGGTCGCAACCGAAAATCGCTGTCTACCTCAGACAACTCAGACAGCGAAGGGTACACCACCCCTAGCCAGAAATCCCGATCACCCCGAAGAAAACGGAAGCAACAGTGACCACTACAGCTTCGAAACAGATTCGCAGTTTTCACTGAAGAAAGCAATGACATGGAGTACTGGAGTACATTGTCGAAGAAGAAACCCAGGAAGTAGAAAAGAAAGAAAAAAAGCCACCCCCAATAGTTATACATGGGCATGAGCAAACACATCAAACCATCGCAGAAATATGTGAGAAATATGCACCCAACGAATACGAACTGAAATACACCCGCCAACGCATCATCATCGCTGCCGACAAGATAGAGCAATATAAGAAGATTAGAGCAGAACTCGACACGCGGACATTTCCGCATCATACGTACACAACAAAGCAGGAAAAAACGAAATCATATGTGGTGAGTGGTCTAGATAGCGACCCCCCGCCAGAAACTGTACTAACGTCACAAAAATGAAAAATACCAAGCGGCCATACTACATAGTGACAACAGCAAACACCAGCACGCTAAAAGATCTGCAAAACAAAGCAAGAACAATTCTCCGAATTCGAGTGAATTAGTCACCGTATGTAAATAAAAACCAGGTGAGCCAGTACAAGAGATGTCAAAGCTGGGGTCATATTACGAAAAACTGCTCCCTGCCCCCTCGCTGCGTCAGATGCGTGGGAAACAGCCAATGGACCCGAGACTGCCCATATAAGGACCTGAAAGACAAGCATCCGGCCAGGTTCGTGAACTGAGAAGGGGAACACGCTCCGTGTGAGAGAGAATGCCCAGTCTACCAGAGCAGAATGAAATACATTGCCGAACAAAGAAAAGAGAGACAACAAGTAATCGTAGCTGCAGCGCGAAAACCGGTTTGGGTTCCGGCACCGCCGCCAACTCGCAATGTCTGGCAACAAAGAACGCCAGCTGTAGCGACGCGACAAGTGGAAAATCCAGAACTACGACAAGGTAGGGAAGCTCCCAGTGGTGAATCAAACGTGCAGCCAGAGAAGTCAAAAAATACTCCAATAAATAATTCAAATGATAATGAAACAAATAACTTTATGCAGCTGAATGCGGAGCTAAAAAAACTCTCGCAAACAATCAATATTACAAATATGATCCGGGCCGTGCGGGATCTCACCAATAAACTGAGCTCCTGGACGACCGGGCAAGACAAATTCTTAGTAACCTTAGAGTTTCTAACTAACAATCTGGCTGATTATGGTTTTTAAAAATCTAATCATAGCGCAGTATAACACAAACGGTATCCTAAATAAAACAGCAGAGCTAATGGCCTTTATGTCCACACATGATGCGGGCATAATGGCCATTACCGAAACCCATCTCAAAAGTAGTCACAAATTTAGAATTAAAAACTACACCGTTTACCGGCAAGACAGACCAAACAATATAGCATGGGGCGGAGTGGCTCTTCTAGTTAGAAGTGACATTCCGCACAGAGACATTAAAATCATACTGAATAGGTCAATAGAAACGACTGCAATCCAACTCATAGACAATACAACGGTAGCGGTAGTGTACAATAAGCCATCTAACAAACTAAAAAATACAGACTTAGACGCATTATCCCTACTTTCCCGCAAGTTAATAATAGTTGGTGACCTCAACTCGCGACATACGAGTTGGGGATGCCACATTAATAATCACAATGGGTACAAATTATTAGATTATCTTAACAACAGTACGTTAATTCTCCACCCAACTATCGAACCCACCCACTATCCTGCAAATGGCGGCACCCCAACGCCGATAGACCATACTATTACTAAAAATATAAACGTAACAGCGCCACGGATGGTTAACGCAATGAATTCGGATCACAGACCTGTCGTAATAGAAATCCCAAACCAATTTTTTGAACAACGCACAATCAAAATCGAATCATACAAAAATGCCAATTGGAAAAAATTTCGGCAGCACCTAGATCAAAATTTAAAAGTAAATAATGAAATATACAATTCAGACATCTTAGAACAAGAGGTAGGAAAATTCATACGTACTTTACAAGCAGCAAAAAGTTTAATAGTAACGACAAAAAATATCAATCCATACAAAGATCAACTTCCTGACTCGATAAAAACCCAAATTACAAACCGAAACAAAATCAGAAAAGTATATCAACAACCAAGAGACCCGCAATATTTAGAAATTGTTAAAACAATGAATAATGACTAAAAGAAGCAATCAAACAATATCGTAATGATAAGTGGTCGACAAAGCTCGCCAAACTAAATCCAGCCGACAATTCATTGTGGAAGCTGACAAAGGCGTTAAAAAAGAAATACGATCCAATCGCGACGCTCCAACACAACAACCGTTCGGAGCTAACTGACCTTGCGAAGGCCGAAGCGCTCGCCGACTACTACGCTAGCGTACACACTGATGACGCAACCGGAAATACCGCCGAGCAACAACACATTGTTCACGTAGTAAACCAGATGATCCAGATGCAACACCCGGAGGTCGATAAACTCGAAACTGACATATACGAAATCACAAACTTTATCGCAAAACTACCAAACAACAAGGCCCCGGGTGAGGACGGCATCGATAACAAAATACTTAAGAACCTGTCGAGGCATGCCATGCAGCAACTCACAAACATAATAAATGCAATAATAACTAACACATTTTCCCCAACAATTCAAAACAGCTATAGTGATACCAATTTTAAAACCAAATAAAAATAAGCAACTTCCAAGCTCATATCGGCATATCAGTCTATTAGCAACTATACCAAAATTAACAGAAAAAATTATCCTATCCCAAATCAACAAAGTTTTACACCAAAACAAAATTCAGCAACCGGAGCAATTTGGATTCAAAAGCAACCATAACACAGTACAACAACTTGTTCGAATCACAAATGACATAATACAGTGTACTCTCTCTTAACGGACACTCCTCATAAGCGGACACCCCTTTTGTACGGACGATTTTTCTGCGACCGGCCAACGCATAGGCATTTCTTAATAAATGTTTTTCTCTTAAGCGGACCCCCTTGTAACCGGACACGGACAGTGCTTTCAAAACAAATTTTCGAAAGCAATCTCTGTTGTACGGACAATACTTGGCGACGAAACGCTGAAACAGCGTCAATAATGTGATATGGATGCATGTGGAAAATTTGTAAATATCCACATTAAGCACGTTCGCCCGTTTCATTTTTCATTCTCACTAGTCACTCATTCTCTTTCGTTTGCTGAGAGTGTAATTATGTCTCAAAAGAAGAGAATTTTAACGTTGAAAGAAAAAATCAAAATAGTGGAGTTTTACACTAAACATAAAGTTAGTGCTCGAGTCTTAGGAAAAACATTTAAAATTGGTAAAAGTCAGGCGGCTACCATCGTAAACAAAAGAAACGAACTTCTAAAAGAATGGGAAACAAGCGTTAATGTCAATAAGAAGCGCACTTTCTTCAAACCTGAAGGTCTAAAAATTGATCAACGCTGCTACGAGTGGTTCATCAAAGCAAGAAATAAAAATATTCCACTGTCTGGGACAGTAATAAGAAGTAAAGCTAAGGAAATTGCAGAGAGTTTGAACAATTAAAATTTGAATGCATCCTTCGGATGGTTACAACGCTTCAAGAAGAGACACAACATCACCTTCAAAGCAGTTAGTGGGGAAGCAGCTAGTGTAAATCAAGTAGATGTGGCGGAGTTTGAAGAAAAACTTCCTTCATTGATACGCGGTTATGATGCACGTGATATTTTCAACGCGGATGAAACAGGGTTGTTTTTTCGGGCATTGCCCACTAAAACTTTTTCATTCAAGGGTGAGAAGTGCTCCGGCGGAAAACTGGCAAAAGAAAGATTGTCTATTCTACACAATGTGAATATGGCAGGGGAACGTGAAAAATTAGTCGTCATTGGTAAAGCTGCTAGACCGAGGGCTGTTGGAAGAATTAATTTAAACACTTTACCCGTTTCATGGTATTCTAACCAAAAATCTTGGATGACATCCGACATAATGAGTGACTATCTGCAGAAATTTGATAGAAAAATGGCTTCTCAAAAACGGAAGATGCTTCTTTTTCTGGACAATGCGGCATCGCACCCCAAAACAAAAACTTAAATTTAAAAAATATCAAAATAATTTTTCTTCCACCAAATACTACGTCGGTGTGCCAACCCCTAGACCAAGGGATTATTAAAAATTTCAAAACTTGGTATAGATCCATGACTGTGAAACATGTTCTGGCTAGAATGGATGAAGCCACTTCTTTAGAAGATCTGATTAAAAAAATCAACTTGTTGGATGTAATATACTTTATTCAAAAAGCATGGGAGAAGGTGACTCCTGCGACAATAACAAATTGCTTCCAAAAAGCGGGATTTAAATTCAGGAATGACACTTTTGAAAAATCCATAGATGATGCTTTTGAACACGACGATGATATTCCCTTAGCAGTGATTGCAGAAATGACTCGAGGAATGAAACGGATCAGCAGCAATGTTGGCTTTGATGATTTTGTTAATTTTGATAACGATTTATGCATTAACGATGAAAGATTGGAGATAAACGAGCCAAGTGATGTCGAGATAGAAGAAAATGAGGAAGAAGAAGGCGAGGCAACGACAGAATACATGGAAAATGTCTCATCTGGATTCATGAAAACGAATAGGGAAGCTATAGAAGGTGTGCAAAAGCTCAAACATTTTTGTGCGAATAAAAACGACATGAAGGGATTTCAAGTTTGCTGTGACTTGATGTTATATATATTTTGAAAGTGTTTCATTAAATCAGTCCAATTTGAAGCAGACAACCTTACAAGACTATTTCAATCAGGTTTAAAATTTAATATTTCATGTATTATTGTCAATTCTTATTACATATTATTATTATTCTACCTTAAATAAAACTGTATTAAATAAAAAATCTGTTCATTCCTCAAGAACGGACACTCCTGTTAAGCGGACAAATTCTTTAGACGGACACCCCTGTTGGCCGGACAAATTCTGTGCGACCGACAGTGTCCGCGCAAGAGAGAGTACACTGTACATACTTTTAACAAACGAAACAACACAGCCATGGCATGCCTGGACATAGAAAACGCATTCGATAAGGTGTGGATCAAAGGCCTGCTTTACAAATTAATAAAGCTAGAGTTTCCGAAAAATCTAGTCAAACTATTGCACTCGTACTTAACGGAAAGAAAACTGAAGATCAGGATAAACCACACCTTGTCGAATGAAAGAAGAATCGGAGTCGGAGTCCTCCAGGGGTCAGTCCTGGGACCGGCCCTGTTCAATCTTTACCTACATGACTTTCCACAATTCAAACAAACAAATACGGCGCTGTACGCTGACGATACAGCGCTGTATGCCAATTCTCACTCCGCCCAAGTGGCGACAAAGCAAATACAAATCCATCTAAATCTCCTACAACCATATTACAAAAAATGGTAAATCAAACTTAATAGCACCAAAACTGAGCATATCATTTTCTCTCGCAAATACAGCAACAACAAAATTTTCAGAAAACTGAAAGTAGGAGATTCGACAATTGAACCCTGCACGCAACTTAAATATCTAGGTCTTCACATGGACAGCAGACTAAATTTCATTGAGAACCTTAAGCAACTACGACGAAAGGGGGAGATAGCTTTAAAAAACCTATACCCGCTTTTGATTAAAAACAATTACCTCAACACCAAAAACAAATTACACGTTTATACAGCCATAATCAGACCAATCATCACGTACGCCGCACCCGTCTGGCGCGGAGTAAACAAAACCACATTATCCACCCTTCAAGTATTCCAAAATAAATGCCTTCGTTTAGCATTAAACAAAGACAGACACACCAAAATTACTGAGCTGCAAACCCTATCTGGCATCCCATCAATTCGAAATTATATCGAAAAGCTCTCTGGCAATTTTTACAAATCACAAACTAAACACAATCCATTACTAAAAAAAGCCATCCGCCATCCGCAAGGCAAACACAAATTCACATACACAGGAGCGTCCCTGTCATAATTTTCTCTCTCTCTCTCTTCTCTATCAGCATCTTCACAACCACCTTTTCTGCATCTTTCCTTTCACCACTTCAGCTAATCTATTTTTCCTTTCAGCATTTTTCCCAAAAATGTACATAGTAGGTTAGTTGTAAATAGTTAGGTTAGGTCAAGGCTCAAAAGCCATGCAAAAGAATTAGGGTTTTTTGTAACAGTTTTCCCTATACTCTAAACGCAAATGTAAAAATAAAAACAGCAACCTGAACAATGTCTCGTTACATTATATAATCGAAAATGAAATATACACAGTAAAAAATATTGCTGGTGTAATTTTAATAAATGTGTTTTTCAAATTACACCAACGAATTCGGTGTGAATATAAACACCATTTTTGTAGATTTAACACTAAATGGTGCACTTTTCAACTAATATGCCTCGTTTACACCGAAACTGACGTACTGAAATCGAACCAGTGATCACTTTTACACTTAAAATAGATACCCCGCTCACAGTTCGGATGAAGTCGCGCTGAACTGCACCGGCGGTGTTACACGGCGCGCCATGAGCCTGTCGCGTCTGCGCAATTCTTTCTCTCACATCGCAATTCGCAAAACGAGAAGGCACCAACACAACAAGTGGATATTATATTATGGTTTTGGTGGTTTTGGCTATTACTTGTTTGTGTTATTGTGACAATAATGAAAGGTGTTAAAGTTAGATACAACAATATTACGAAATGGATGATTCTGAATGAAGCAGTCTCATTTCCTGACTTTTGTGCAGACAGTAAGTATAAACGTCTGGTGTCTATGGATGATGCAACCAAGCACCCATTAGGAATACATTCGCAAGTGTGTTTAGTAAATGCTAGACACATAAAAACATCGGTCCAATAGTTTGTAGATCGTTATTATTCGAAATTTCAGCGGTATATCTAATGTGTAGGCTTTTGCATCAAAAGAAAAATAAATCATAAATATAATTAGTAAAGAGCGGATACTTACAGCCCGCACAATTTATTGACTGCTACGTGCGACTTGATCCACTGTAGTGGAAAACGAATAAGACAGTGTGAATTGGTATTTTTGTCCGCTCATTATTAATTACTAATTAGTGATGATGCTACTTTTTTGTAATGAACAATTTAGATGTATCTTCAACACTAAGTATGATTTTTGTAGTACAAAAGAAATTTAGTATCGATGGAAATATTATTTTAATGGATACAGATGGCGCAGAAATCGAGGAAGATGTCTTTCAATTATTTATCACAACCAATGAATCCATTACATTTGTAGCAGTGACGAAAGAAACAAGGGATTGTGGCATTTTCTCAAGCGGTAATAATTTAATTTATGATCAAATTTTATTGTGTGCCATTTCATATACCTATTTAACATAACAAAAATTAAATCATGTTTAGGCTACACTAATCTTGATTCGCCTTGCGATGAAGCAACACCAAGTTGTTCATCTGTTTCCACGTTAACTACAACTTCGTCGTTAGATGAAGGTTTATACTTGAATGAAATTTTTGTAAGTTGAACAAATTTAATTATCTAATTTCTGAAATTTAATTTAGGATTTACGGTCTCAAATACGTCAATCTGGAGGTCAGTACATATTAGACGAATACGAAAAAAATCAATTTCTAACGGATCGAACTAGGATTCACTTGGTGAATATTGTGGCAAACATTCTTTTTAACATATATCAACACAATGTTCCAAAACTGGAAAAGATGAAATATGCTGAAGAAATTGTTACCATATTTCCTAACTTAAAAAATCCCGTAAGTACTACTGGCGGTTATGTAAATTTCAGGAAACTTGGTGCCGAATATGTATTGACTAAATTTTTAAAGGAAATGTTTTTCAACGCACAAACAAATGGAGGTTATTTGGCCAACAGACTACGAACTTTAAATAGAATTAACAAAACGAATAAGATCACTGAAAAAACTCTGCCTCCACCAAAAAAACCGAAACTTACCGAACCAGGCCCTAGTGAAGAATTGACCCTTGAAGTAGACGAAAATGTAATATTTTTAAAAGAAGCGGATCCAAAAACACAGGAACAAACTATCAAACTAAAAATGTTAGATACATTTCATTTTCGCAAATTTAAAAAAGACAATGTTTTAGAACTTTTCCCAAGATTTATAGATAGGTACATCTGGATTGGTTAGACAAATATTATTTCATTATATATTCCATTCAGTGTTTTTATTTTGTAGATTCAGCAAGATTTTAATTCTATGTTTCCGCATTGCGCAGACGATTTTGAGGTTCAATTCAAAAAGCAAAAAGAAAAAATTTTGAAAATTTGTTTAGCCGTGTCTAGTTCAGAACTAACGAACATTGAATACAATGACACAACGAAAACATTTTTTTTCTTTAATTAAGATGCTCCCTCCATCTCCAAAAGGAAAACAAAAAGCGTCGCAAGTGTCCATACAACAAGCATTCTCCAAACTGATTGTGTTTCAGCAAGTATGCATTTTACTTATTGTTTTTTTATAAACCAATGTTTGTGTAATTTTTTAGAATAGCACGTCGCTGCAAGAAATAATCAAAAGTACAAAAAATACTCAGCCATTCATTCTGGCAAGAGGATACAACAAAGCAGCTGTTGATGAGTATGTAGTGATTGTTGATGGGAATGTTTTACCTGAAAAATTTTCAAATTTTGTATTAGCATTCGATTATTTATTTAAAGTTCACTTTGTATTAAATTTAAAGTATGATGTAAATTTAGAAACTTTTTTTAAATTTATTCAGGTTTACTTTTATAAGGTAGAAGTAGATTCGGTGACATTTACTCCAAAAATGCATGAATTAAGGGCACGTTTATCTGTGTAACAACTTGTTGAACAATGTATTTGAACTGTACGTATTGTAAAAAAAAGTTTTTTGACATTAGTCAATTTATGAAACATTTAAAAATTGCACATACACTTTACGATAACCCTAACTTACAAATAAAATGTTGTCATTCTACATGTTACCAATATTTCTGCACACTGAGTGGCTTCAGACGTCATGTAGTCAAATGTAAACAGTCAACTCAAGCACAGTAAAAATCAGTTTTAAGCAATGTAAATAAGTTAATTGCAAATGATGCTGCTCTTCTAGATGAATGTAATTCTGTTGATGAAATTGGCGAAACTAATATTAATTTAACATTTACAACTTTTTGCCAAAAACTGCTTTCATTACAACTGCCCATGTCTACGTTACAAACAGTATTAGATATTACTGGGGAAACTTTAGATACTGTCATGGAATATTTCCGTGAAAATTCTACAACCACTCCAGTTGTAGTACTCACGAATATGATCTCAAAAGAATATGACAAAATCAATACCACTTATAAAATTCAAAAACTAGCAAATTCAGCAGTTCAACCTAAAGAAGTAACAATAGGAAGTCGAGTAGACAAGGTTTATGACAAGAAACTGAATATTTATAGAGAACAGTTCAAGCCAGTCACGTTTTGTTACATATCTATAGTAGAAACTTTAAAGTATCTGTGCACAAATAAATTATTTTTATCATATCTAACCAAACGTACTTTCAGTGAGCCGAATGTGTTAAGACATTTTGTTGATGGCGAATATTATCGGTCGTGTGATTTTTTTAAAAATACTGATTTTCATTTTTTACTCCAGCTTTATTTTGACGAGTTTGAAACAGTTAATCCACTAGGAAGTCAAACCGGTGCTTACAAGCTAGGAGCTCTTTATCTCATTATTCAAAATTTGCCTTCCATTTTTAACGGAAAGTTAGAAAATATTTTTTTAGTAGGTTTGTTTCACTCCGGTGATATAAAAAAATTTGGCTTCAATAAAATTTTACAATATGTCGTTGATGAAATAAATATCCTAGAAACTGTTGGAATAATAGTTCATAATTTTGATAATCCCATAAAAGGAACACTGACATCTATTTGTCATGACAACTTGGGCGGGAACATGCTTCTAGGGATGATAGAGTCATTTTCTGCAAAGTATTTTTGTCGATTTTGCCTAACTCCAAAAGATGACATTCAAACGGTAGTTTCTGAAGAAAATCTCACTATTCGCACTAAAGACGCTTATAACTTACATTGTGACGAAGTAAAAAATAATAAGGATCCAAATGTGCTATCTCATTTTGGAATCAAAGAGAAAAGTGTTTTAAATAATATGCATTATTTTAATATGTTTGACTGCCCAACAGTTGACATAATGCATGACATTTTGGAAGGCGTTGCTCAGTTTGAAATAAAATTATTATTGAAGTATTTTGTAGACAAAAAAATATTAACATTAGAGACCATTAACAACAGAATATTGGCTTATGATTATGGTTATACCGACCGATAAAATTTTCCGAGCCCTATAACATTGAATAAACCTGGTCATTTAATTAATCAGAAAGCCAGTCAAACGTGGTGTTTAATAAGATTTTTACCTCTTATATTTGGCGATTTATTGACTGATGAGTTAATGTCAAAATGGGAAGTTATTTTTTCGTTATTAAAGATTATGCAGATCGTATTTTCTCCAGTAATTCCTCGAGAAGAAATTAATACCTTAGAAATACTTATATCCTATCACCACCAGAAATTAAAAGAATTTAACGCGAAGTTGTTACCAAAACATCATTTTATGGTACACTATCCCAGAATCATTAAAATAATGGGTCCATTAGTGCATATGTGGAATATGCGCTTTGAGGGTAAACATAATTTTTTCAAAAATACGATTGCTAAGTTAAAAAATTTCAAAAATATTTGTAAGATGTTAAGCTGCAGACATCAACAGTTTATTTTTTCTAAGTGGGAAGAAGGACATTTGCAAGAAACAACACTTTTTGGCCCTACAGTACTACTTAATATAACAACATACAAATACAAACATATTTTACTAAGTTATTTTGAAATGAGTGAAATTGATGCATCTATTATTTTAACAAAATGGTTACACTTTCGAGGAATTCGTTATAAACCAAAATTTTTAATATGTTGTTTGGTCTACAATAATACACCTCAGTTTGCAGAAATTATTGATATTTTAATTGTTGATAATGTACCATATTTTATTGCACTCCTTTATCAAACTCTTGACACATATTCTTATGGATATGTTATAACTCCAACAGATGAAATTGTGTTGAAAAATTTGAATTTTATACCTCATAAAGAAACTTATCATATTAGTCAAAAAACAGGAAGTGATGCTAGGTATCTTGTCCCAAAAGTTATATTTACGAACTATGTGCATTAGAATATTATAGACATTTAATGTTTTTTTTAAGTGAGAATGTTTATTCAGTTTATTATTTTTTGTTGTTAATAAAGGTTTTGCAATAATATAATATTCTTTTTATTTACATCCGAGTACCGATTGATTTATCACCAGATGTAGTGACAATTTAATCATAAATTTTATTAAGTTTACACCTATAAGGATATCGCTAACACCAATGTTTATAAAAATAACACCAGATGTACGATTCAATTAACACCAAGTTTTGGTGCTTAAAAAAATGGTGTAAATTTACACCAAACTATTGGGACCTCTGAGAACACTGAATGGTGTTCTGTGGTGTGTTATGGTGTTCAATATTTTTTACTGTGTAGCATGTAACCTTGTTTTAAACCAAATATAAGCATATGAATAAAAACCTATTGAATTTGATTTGAATTTGGTTCTCGTCCAGTTCGCCACCAAGACTCAAACGAGTCGGACGTGTCGCGGTGCGAGAGCTAAACTCAAAGCGAAAAAGTCTCCTTTGAGAGTACGGTGCCGTGCGAACGTGTGCAACAAACGAACATCGTTTGAACTCGCCGCCGCCGCCAAGAAGCAGACGCACAGGTGTGAGTTCGCAAGTGTTCGAATTGCGATTGCCGAGTCGGCAATCGTAATCAGTGGTTAAAAAGACAAAAAGACAATAAAATGGATAACTCTGCAACAAAAGAAGATCAGGCCCCAATCTTACTAAGAGCGAGCCCCAACCCCATCTTCGTGGCCAAAAAGCACACGAAAGCAAAAGAAAACGAAACACCGGAACCGGTAACTATCTTTAAAGTACCGGCGACAAGGCCTCCTCCAACCACAACAACAATAAATCCAGAATTGACTACTCAACAACACGAAAACAGCCTCCAGGACATCCATATGGATGTCAGCGCGGCATCGGAATTCCCGCTGCCGGAAGACCGAAGCGGAGAATTCATTAACAGTGATGAACTGAGTAGGAAACGGAAAAGGGCAAGCACACCACCCAACGACGATTTTCCACCACTAAGAATAATAAATAACTTCGCCCCATTGCAAAACTTAAACGAAAAAACAGCGACGGAACAGCCACAAATAACGGCGTCAATGAAACCGAGAACACAGAAACCAACAACGCCAAAAAACGAAACACCGCCTCCGATAATCCTACATGGGAAACCGGAAAAACACCAAGAATTAACTCAACTACTAACGGAGGTAGCCAAATCCGGACACACCCTTAAATACTCAAGAAATCGTACGACGATAACGACGAAAAATGCCGACGAAAGGAAGCTGTTAATATCAAGACTGGAAAGTAGGAGAGTTAGCTTCCACACATATACGGAGAAAGCGAACAAGACGCACGCGTACGTACTGAAAGGACTCGATTGGGGGTCAGACATTGAAGAAATTGATGAAGAAATAAAAAATATAGGATTGCCCCCGAAAGAGATCTTTCAGATGAAAAACACCGGTAGGAAAATGTACTTGGCAATATTTTCTAAAGACGTCCTAATAAGACATCTCCAGACGAAAGCCAGAATTCTCCTCAATTGCCAAATAATATGGGAACGGCACGAAAATAAGCGCCAAATAATCCAGTGCAGAAATTGTCAAGAATGGGGATATGCCACCTCAAACTGCTACGCTGAGGTGGTGTGCATGGTGTGTGCGGAAAACCATCCGACAAGGGATTGCACAGTGAACAAAGAAGAGCTAGTGAAATGCGCCAACTGTGCTGGTAACCACAGGGCAAGTAGCACCCTGTGCCCAAGCTACCAGCGCAGAATTCAAATGTCTGGCCAACAGCAACCAGAAAAGACAAAAATAAACTATGTACAGGCACCACCCCCAAAAACCAACCCGTGGCAGCAGAGACAACAACAACAGCAGCAGCGGCAGCAGCAACAGCAGCAGCAGCAACAACAGCAACAGCAACACCAACAATATCATCAGGTGCGGCCAGCAACCAGTGTAAGTGAAAACAACGCGAGTGCGAGTGCGAGTGCTAAAAATCGTGCTCAAAGTGGCGCTAGTGACATTTTCGCCGCTATGAAAGGCCTAAATGAGGCCTGTAATATCGGCGAAATGTTAACCTCTTAAGGTCCTGTGTTCCGAATCAGGAACATACCTAACTCAGACCAAAAACAATTAGAAAAGAGCAATCATTCCGCCAGTTCTTTAACTGACCGTTGTTCCTAATATATACCAATGAATAAACATTGATAAGTAACAGCAAACGCCATCTAGAGTGAAACTAGAATAAGTTCAGTCATACCTTTGCAGACGGAGCACGTTGTGTGGTGTTGAGTTATTTGTGATCGTAATTTTTTAATTTTTGGGTAAGTACCGATCAAACTAAAATTATTTAGGCTATTGTTAGACTTTAGAAGATATGCCTGTACCTTCCTAGTTATTGTAAATATACAATTAGTCTGTAGGAGCCCAAAATTCTGTTAGTTCCTCATATGGAACATTGGTCATTTAGATGAAAATTAGATTGTTCCTGAAATGGAACAGTGGACTTTTGGTACATATGAACTAATAGCAATATTGTTGGGTTTTTACAGTAAAAATGGCCTACATACCAAGCGATAGTGAGGACGATAATCTTGGAGACTCAGATGATGAGTTTGTTGTACAAAATTCAAGGGATTCCTCTTCTTCTGACAGTGACGATTCAATTAGTAGTTCCGAATCAGATGAAGATAATCAACCTGTAGATCATGTGGCTACAGCTACGAATGTAAGAGGAAAACCCACATACAAGTGGACTAAACTCAATAATAATGATGAAGAATTGCCATTGCCACCTTTCGTTGCGGAGGAAACCGAGGAGTCCGAAATTGGACGCCCAATTCATTATTATCAGCAATTTTTTTCGAACGAATTGCTTTATCTCATAGTGGAACAAAGCAATTTATATGCTATTCAAAATGACGTAAACAAGCCCCTGAATCTAACACGTTCTGAATTAGAAATTTTTATTGGAACTGTTATATACATGTCAATTTTCCATTTACCGCGACATAGACTTTACTGGAAGTCAGCTTGCAGAGTAGCCCAAGTTGCTGACTGTATGTCCAGAAAGAGATGGGAAGATATAAAAAAGAATTTACATTTCAACAACAACGATGACCTTCCCACGGATAGAAATGATCCAAACCGTGATAAGCTATTCAAGCTTAGACCCATAATAGATGCATTGACAGAAAAATTTAAAAATCAAGTCAAACCACAGATGCTTTGCGTAGATGAACAAATAGTGCCGTACAAAGGAAGATCTGCACTAAAGCAGTATAATCCCAAAAAACCCAACAAATGGGGTTACAAAATATTCGTATTGTGCGATAGCAGTGGTTTGGTTCACAATTTTGAAATTTACACAGGAAAAATATTGCCAACACCGGGAAAGGAGGATATAGGAGCTAGTGGAAATATTGTACTACGCTTGGCATCTGTGATACCACAACACAAAAATTATTTACTCTTCTTCGACAATTGGTTTACCTCTGTAAAGCTGCTTACCTCTCTTCAAGAAGATGGGATTTATAGTTTGGGGACCGTAAGATGCAACAGACTTCCTGGTTTACAATTCAGCAGCGACAACGTTTTGAAAAAAAAAGGTAGAGGCACTTATGAGGAATATAAGACAACAGTCAACAGTGTTGATATTCATACTCTGAAATGGTTCGACAACAAGAGCGTTTGTCTCCTTAGTACATTTTGCGGAAGCCAGCCTGTCGATATTGTTGAACGCTTTGACAGAAAAGGCAAAAGAAGAGTTGAGGTGACCCGTCCCAATATGATAAAGCTATATAATAACTTTATGGGTGGGGTTGACCTTCTTGATGGACTCATATCCTACTACAGGATAAGCCTAGGAAGTCGAAAATGGTATCTCAAACTGTTTTTTCATTTAATCGACTTGGCTCTAGTTAGCGCATGGTTAAAATACAAGACTGATATGCAGAAGAGTAACATGGACAAAAAAGATATTCTAGATTCTTTGGGATTTCGTGCTGAAGTAGCCGAAGCTCTTTGCCGAGTGGGAAAGGATGAAAATACAAGAAAAAGAGGAAGACCAAGCGGAAGTACTGAAAAGAATTATGAAGAGAAAAAGAGAAGGGGAGCAACAAAACCTATACCTCAGTTTGACGTGCGTACAGACAAGGTGGCCCACTTTCCTTCTTATAACAAAGAAAGGCAACGGTGCAAGAGACCATTGTGTGGACTAAAAACTTATTTCTATTGTGTAAAGTGTAAGGTACATCTATGTATTACTAAGACTAGAAACTGCTTCGCTGAATTTCATATTTGATTGCATAATTATGTCTATATGACCAGTGTTCCTGCAAAGGAACATATTGTTTTGTTGTTTTCTAAAGCAGAAAATAAATATTTTGAAAACTACAATTTGTTTACTAACTGCCTCTGGCCACTTTTTTCATGGAATGAATTTTTTAAATAAGATTCTAGTATAAGTGGACCTTAAGAGGTTAAGGGCAATTAGTGATCTGACAAACGTGCTCAGTGCTTGCCAAAATAAGCAAGACAAATTTATTGCCTTTGTGAAATTTACGGAAAACCTAGACAATTATGCGTTGTAAACCCATAAAAATCTACTATTGGAACGCTAATCGCATATCTAACAAAATGTCTCCCCTGATAGCATTTTTATCCACACACGACGTGGATATTAAGCTAATAGGGGAGACCAAACTGACAGACAAGGACAGACTAAACATTAGACATTACGTAACGCACAGACAAGACAGGACGGGAGACACCAGAGCGAAAGGATAACATTTCCCGCCACGGACATCGAGAATGTAGCCGTCAGGCTACCGGGAAATACGTATGTTGTTGGTGCTTACAACAAGCCCAAGCATCTTATTTTCGAACGGGATCTGGACGGCGTTCTCGATGGAGGAGTGTTGCTAATCGGTGATTTAAACGCGAAGCATGGTGACTGGAATTGCCAGAGAGGCAACTCTAACGGCACCATGCTTCGCGATTATATCGAGACAAACGGACTGACCTTACTCCACACGGACGAACCGACACATTACCCGAGCAACGGACAGACTCCCTCGACAATCGACATCTGCATAAACAAGGACGTTGCAGGTGTCGAACGACTCGACGTAATAACAGACATGGACTCGGATCACGACCCAGTCTGCCTCACACTCCCGAACATCCGAGTGGAAAACAACGAAAAATCAATTATTAGCTTCAGAGAGACGGACTGGGTCGCGTTCAGACAAAAAATTAACGAAAAACTGAACTTAACTACGGACATCAAAACATGCGAACAGCTGGAGGAAAGCATCCGGTCGTTTACTCGAGTAGTGAGTAAGTCGCGCGCGCCTTTGTAGTAAGCGACGTACGCTCAAGGACGACCGGTCAGGCGTAACGCCGAAAATCCGCCAGCTGCTCGCCGAGAAAAACAAACTGAGACGACTCTACCACCGGACGGGACAACGACACTACAAGGACGATTACGAAAGTATGTCACGGACGGTTACGGACAAAATTAAACGCGACAAAAACGACAAGTGGAGGGAAAAACTAAAGACATTAAACGCACGGGACAATACATTATACAAAATGACGAGACTTCTAAAGAAAAAGACTACGCCGATCGGACATGTAACGTACAAAGGACGGACGGGACTGACGAACAAAGAGAAGGCGGAAATCATTGCAGATTTTTACGCGGATGTCTGTGATCTCGACGCAGACAACGTCGCGTTGACACCAACGCAAGAGAGGATCAGCAATAACATTTCCGCCTTCAGACTTGACAAACCAGACAAAAACGACGACGACAAAGACTACCAGCGGCGCATGCAGACGTCGCCCAAAGAAATATGGAGTATCATTAAAAAGCTCCCAAGTAAAAAAGCTCCGGGAGTCGACGAGATCCACAATGCAGTTATCAAAAACTTACCACAAAAAGCAATACTTCAGTTATACTACATTATTAACGCCATATTTACAACCAACCACTGGCCAACGGCTTTTAAGAAAGTCGTGGCCATACCAATCCCCAAAAATGGTAAAAATCTCGTCGACCCGGGCAATTTCAGGCCGATCAGCATCCTCACAGGATTTTCAAAAATAGCGGAGAAGGTTGTCCACGCCCGCCTCGCAGTCCTGGAGGAGGAAATTAACTTCCTGCCCGACTTCCAGTTTGGATTTCGGGCCAAACACGACACCACTCTCCAGGTTGCGAGGATCACGGAACGAGATCACGGACAACTTCTCCAAGGACAAAAATACCGCGATGGCGCTGCTGGATATACGGAAAGCCTTTGACAGGGTCTGGTTCGAGGGACTGACCTTCAAACTTCTGAAGATCGGTCTTCCGAACCGGCTAGTCAGGCTGCTAGACTCGTACATGACAGGACGGACGTTACAAGTACGGATAGGGACTGAACTTTCGACGGAGAGGTCGGTGAAGGCAGGAGTGCCTCAGGGATCGGTCCTCGGGCCGAAACTCTTTGCGTACTACCTGTACGACATGCCGACCTTCTCGAAGACAAGACTTGCACTCTACGCAGACGATACCGCCACCTATGCACACTCTTTCAGTGCAGAGGTGGCTAACAGACAAGTGCAGCTCCACATGTACCAACTTGTGAGATACTTCGGTGATTGGCGAGTCGAACTGAACTCTGAGAAAACAGAAAACATCATTTTCACCAGAAAATACACTGAAAACAAAATAATAACGAAGCTCAGAGTTCACGACAAACCAATCACTGAAAAATCGCAAGTGAAGTACTTGGGAGTTGTGCTAGATAAGAAACTGAATTACAAAACGAACATTGACAAAACACTGACATCAGCAAACGCGACATTACCACAATTATACGCTATGATGAATAAGAAAAGCGGACTAGACATGACAAACAAACTGACCATCTACAAGACGATCCTGAGACCGATTGTCACTTATGCAGCGCCCGTATGGTGCGGCATAAGTGAAACTCAAATGACAAGACTAGAGAGGTTCCAAAACAAATGCCTCAGACTCATAACAGGACAAAACAGATATGCCAGAATCGCTGATATGCTGGCTGAAACTGGACTGGAGACTGTGAGGGAGCACGTCGATAGATTGAGTAAAAGGTTTTATCTGACGAGGCTTCAACACAGTCTCCTAACTCGGAACCTTCTCCGTGATAGGCCGAGAACCAAACATCAGCCGGAATATCACCGATTCGAAATCTACGACGAGACAAAAAATAAATGAGAGCGGCTTCAACAAACAAGCCACAACCCCCTTCCCCCCCTCTTTTGTAAATACCCCCGCCACCCCTCCCTTTTTGTAAATATTGTAAATAATGTAAATAACTGTACATAATCTGTACATATTTAGAATAGGTTAGTTGATAAGCCCATAAACAGTGTTTTTAATCTACTTTTCACTGTAAAAACTAGACAAAATCAGATACAAATGAAAAACAAGCTTAAAAATAATGAAATATCTTAAGTAACCTTACATGTCAAATAGAAAAGCACCATGAGATATTTATATAGTACATGCTGTCCAAATACAATAAGGCAAATTAGAGCAGGCGTGCCCCAAGGCTCGGTACTTGCACCGAAATTCTTTTCATTATTTATACATGACATGCCGAAACTAGAACATACAAACATCGCGCTCTACGCTGACGTCGCTAACAAACAGGTGCAAATACATCTTAATATAATAGAAAATTATTATGATGATCTAATGGTCGACATCAACGCCGACAAAACTGAAAATGTGTCTTTCTGTAGAAAGTTCACAAATAATAAAATCATCACTAAATTGAGAATCAAAGGATGACAGATAGACGTCCAGCCTGTCGCTAAGTATCTAGGCGTGTACCTGGACTCAAGTTTGAATTTCAAAACCCATCTTTCCAAAACCAAAATTAAGGCGGAAGCCGTACTAAAAGCTGTCTACCATCTCATGGCCAAAAACTCCAAATTAAGTCCACAAAACAAAATACGCATCTATAAATCCATAATTAGACCAGTAATCACATACGTGGCATCAGTATGGTGCAGTATCAGCAATAGCGCTATGATGCAATTCAAGGCTTCAAGAACAAATGCCTCCGTCTAGCAACGAACGCTTCACCTTATACAAGAATCACATTTTTACATGAAGTAACGAAAACAGAAACCTTACGAGATTACATAGACAAACTTTCGTACAAATTTTACAAGGACAGACTTGAAAATAACAGACTGACACGAAACATTGCGAGAATTAGAAAACATAATTCTACTAGACAAGAAAGACATAAACCGACATACGCGAAACTCGCGATATATGACGAAATAGACTAGGACTAAGGAAGTTTGTCCTCCCACATTACAAAGTGTGACAATACTCACACAACCCCACAAATATACATTACATATCACATATAGTAATCACCCCTATTACAATAGCAAGTTAATTATCCAAACCGGTGGCGCAATTTGTAAAGCCGGAGTTAATCCCCAAGCGGTCGACGCAATCACAGCAAAAGCTGTGGCGGCGCCGAACGGCCAAAAAGGGGCTAAATATAATAACAAATCCACAATCAAAAATAGAACGAAACAAAACTGAAAAACTTAATTATTTTAAGCAAAAAACGCATCGAATATCAAAATATTTGATAAAGCTATGAAGCTAGGAACGAATTAACATATCAACATCTAATATAATAGCAGAAGTAGAGTGATAGAAGTAGTTATTAGTGTAGAACAGAGCATTGAAATAAAGATGTGAAAGTGAGTTATTAGTAAGTTTCCACCCTGGTAACGATCCATCAGGGGATTCGTGACAAACAGAAGCAAAGAGAGATAAAATCACCGAAAATGTAATTACCGAAAATATTAATGGAGAATCACAGGCAGTGGAAGAATCCGTTAATTACCATGACGCCAACAACAAATTCAGCCAACTGGCGTCACACGAGGATACTGATATTAGTGAAAGCGAAAGTGAAGTGACGGAAATGGAGTGTGATGAATCCGAAAATCCCGATAATAATAGTAGCAAAAAGGCCAAAGCACTCCCCATCATTTTGCACGGCAAAAACTTTAATTTTACCAAACTTCTCGAAATAGGACAACAATACACCGACCACGGAGTTGACATCAAACACACTAAGGCGAACACCATCATTTTCACATCCTCTGAATTAGACTTCATAAGATTGCGTAAACATCTATCCCAAGAAACCAACGCAAGATTTCACACATACACGCTGAAAAGTGAAAAAACACACGCTTTTGTAATAAAAGGCCTTGATAACAAACTAAGCGACGAGGAAGTCAAAAAAGAACTAAGTAAAAAGGGAGTGGACGTAGTCAAAGTTTACACTATGTCAACAAAAAACGAAAATCCTAATCCCATTAATGTGGTCATAACCACAACAAAAGAAAATATCAAAACTGTACGAAGGAAAGCACGCATCAACATGCTGATAGTGGTCAAATGGGAGCGGAAGACGAACCGACGTGAAATCGCACAATGCCATACTACAATTGCGAGGCTTGGGGGCATACAACCTCAAATTGTTATTCCAACGCACGCTGCAGGCTCTGAGCAGAAAACCACGAATCCAAAGACTGCACCATTAACACCGCTGTGGAAGAAAATCTTGCAAAATTAAAGTGCGGGAACTGCGGGAACAATCACGCCTCGTACAACACTGACTGCGAGGTTTACGCCAAACGACATGCATACGTTATGCAAAAGCGCGAAGAAAACGCGCGAAAAAATATATCCCTACACCAGCTCTTCTAATTAACGCGTGGAATTTTCCAGAGCTGCCACCCACCCAACCGCTGGACACACAAACCAATTCCATCACTGGTGCCGCCGTTGATAGCACCGGTTCTCGTCCAGTTCGCCACTACGGCTCATTCGAGTCAGACGTGTAGCGGTGTCTCTCTAAAAGTCAAAGAAACGAAGTCCTTTTGTGTGCAAGTGCCGCCGCCTTTGATATCCGAAGCCGGAAACAGACCGACGAACGAACACCTGCAGTGCGGTATTCCTCCCTACATTCACATAAAGAAACACGTAAGCGAGTGTCGCGACCAAACGTGAATTAATGAGTGTGATCTCAGACATTGCTGACAATGCTGCACCTGCAAATGCAACAAACAGTATCGCGTTCGCGGAAATAACACCTGCGCTCGAAACAGCAACACCCGCGTCGGCACCGCCTTTGTCCGCGAAACAACTAGCAGAGCTCCCAAACCCTGCTAAGCAGCTGAAAAACAAAACGTCCGTGATTCGCGCGAAACGGAAAGACATTTCACCCTACAGGCGTGCCCCTATCGGTGACTCACAGGACACAACAGCAAAGCCAATCAGGATCATCTCCGAGGTGGCTTTCAAACCAACCATGTGCTCCACTGACACTGAGGTGGGCACCGGTGACCTCGACGGTTGGTCATCGGAAAAAACTGAATGGAGCTACGTCAGGAGACGGGCTCACGTCGAAATGATCAACACGGATGTGTCTCAGCAGAGTCAATCACAATCAGAAGCGACGTCTAGCGCAGAGCAGCCACCCCAAAATAAAAATCGAGAACAGTTCCCGCCCCTTCCGCCACCATTGAAACTAAAAATTCGATACACCCCCCTAGAAAAAATGGAAACTGAAACAGTAACCACAAAACCCAATAAACCACCCCCAGTCATCATCTTGCATGGGCAGCCGGAAGACCACAAGGCCTTCCAGAAACTATTGACGGACAACGCAAAAGGCGGTTATACTCTCAAATACACCAAAAGGCGAACTACGATACAAGTCGCCAACAAAAAAGACTGGGAAACACTCTCCAGACAGCTGGAGATACGGGATATCAGCCACCACACATACACGTGCGTCGAAGATAAGACGCACGGTTTTGTGCTAAAAGGTCTGGACTTTGAGCCCGAAATTGAAGATCTCAAAGAGAAGCTGAGGGGAGGAAAACATCCCTTGCGAAAAACTATTCAAAATGAGAGGGACAAAAAGACCAGCCTACCTGATCACAACAACTAAAGACGTAACGCTCAGCCAACTGCAGAGACACAAATATGTCATCCTAAACACACGAGTCACGTGGGAGAGGCATTACAACAACAGAAAAATTACACAATGCCACACATGTCAGGAATGGGGTCATGCCACATTAAACTGCAAAAGCAAACCCAAATGTTTAAAATGTGCAGGGCCCCACAGAGTAGCCGACTGCGATCCCGACCTAGTCAACCTAAAATGTGCAAACTGCGACGGGAATCACGCGGCCAATAACCCAGACTGCCCCACATATGTAAGAAAAATTCAAGAAATAAAGAAAAGCGAAGAACCACAGAAGAAATTCGTCGAGGCACCACCTCCGAAATCTAATCCCTGGCGTAAACTGCCCGCCACCCCAGCCAACACCGCCACAACAGGAATCTCCAACGCGACCATCGCCCACACCAGACCGCAGCAGGGATACCCCCAACAACACTCCCCGTCAAAGTGTAGTGCACTTAACAGTGTCAGTGCCGCGACACGTGAATGTGCCGACCTGTTCAGTGCGCTAACCGAATTAAAAGCGGCGTGCAACATAAGTGAAATGGTGCGGGCGATCAACGACTTGAATGCGCTACTAAAAGAGGCAAGCACGAAAGCGGAGAAGTTCTTAGTCTTCACTCAATTTACCGAACAACTCGACAGCTACGATATATAAATTCACGACAAAACTGACGATTACTTACTGGAACGCTGACGGACTAAACAACAAACTGGCGTCTATGATAGCATTCATGTCCACCCACAAGGTGGATGTGATGCTCATCGGGGAGACCAAACTGACTCAAACCGACAAACTACAAATAAAAAACTACAGGACATACAGACGAGACAGACAAGTACTACCCCGAGGCAGGGAGTTGCGATATTAATAAAGGACGACATTCCGCACACCCAAGTGAAGATACCAAACACATCTGTGGAGGTGCTGGCAGTTAAATTACAAACCAAATACGTCATAGCATGCGGCTATAATAGACCAACAAACTACTTCTCAACGCGAGACCTCGATGCAATCTTCGAGGTTGGAGATGGAGTAGTTCTAGCGGCCGACCTGAATGCGCGCCACATTTCGTGGAACTGCCGCCGCAACAACAGGAACGGCAATACACTGAGCGAACACTTAGAAAACAGCGACGTTCGCATACACTTCACGGCCGAACCGACACACTTCCCCTACAACGGTGGGGAGCCGTCAACCATGGACCTTGTTTTAACAAAGGGCGGCATCGGCATCGAGCGACCATGCACCATCGTGACGCTCGATTCCGATCATGACCCAGTCAAAATTGAGCTGCCGAGACAATTCCGCGAAAGACGTGACAAAACGAAGACAAACTACGACAAGACGGACTGGAAACAATACAGGCGGATACTGAACGACCTTGTGACAATAAACAATGACATCCGTACTACGACCAACATCGAGAACGCGACAAACGACCTTGCACGTGCGATCGAGAAGGCCAAGCGGAAATGCTGGCGTACGCACAAGTTACAACTGGGTTACAACTCTGGCGTTACCGACGAAGTTGTAACCGTGTACGTTGTACGCGAGGTAGTTTAGGATTGGCCTTGATGAGTCAGTCGTTAAAGTAGGGCTGGAAGACGTTCAGGTGCAGTTGCACTTGCCGGGCGGCCACTTCCGAGCTGAAAGAGTGCGCGAAGATGGTCGTGTCATCGGCGTACACCCCCAGCTCCGTTTTTGTGAATGTCGGGATGTCCGAAATATGGATGTTGAACAGTTTGGGACCTAGGACTGATCCTTGAGGAACTTCGTTCCTAATCATGTACGAGTGTATACAACAAATGTTAGCCGCGGGTGTAATGGAACGTTCCGTGAGCGACTACTGCTCCCCGGCTGTGCTGTGGGGGACGAGAACGTATGTACGCACATTTTTGTCCGTCTTTTTTTATAGATTATTAGATCTGTCTTTTAAGCGCTCGCGATTTGCTGGCCCTTATTTTGTGATTAGTTTTTCTGGATTTGTTCCTAACTTTACGTTTTTACAAATATTTTTATTGGATGCTGCATGTATTTGCTTGGACTAATTAAATTTTTGCTTTTGTCTGACTTTTGTTGTTTTGATTGTGGTTTGCCTTTAATTCTTATCGTGTCTGGACCGGCCGGCACCCCAGCATTTTCTACCTGCTGTGGCTTCGGCCGTCCAGGCCTCGGGGTCTTTCTCGATTTAGCAAGTTGCTCGGTCGGATAGGATAATTAAATAGTGCTTTTAATTATGGGCGATACATGGGTAGTAATATCCCACGTTTTGCGTGTGATTGGTTCGTCTTTGCCAGCGCGATAGTTATATTTGGGTTTCTCACCATGCTTTGTGAGAGGGCCTGATTTTGATTAACCCATTACTGCCCACCGTATGATTTTTCATACCATATGAACGGGACTGTTTGAAGTTAGGTACTTAAAACAAAAGACAACGAACCGGCTTTTGAAATATATCAAACTCTACCTTTTTTAATGGTCTTTCGAGTACTTATTCATTGGAGATTATTTAAAACAAAGTTACATTATCATATTGGTTTTTGCAAAACGGTGTCCTTCATTTTTTGCAGAATGAGTAAGAGGTAAGTTTACAATTTTTTATTTTTTCTACAAGAGAAAAATCCATGCATGTTTCTTGCGATATATATAAAATAAAGTCTGTAGATTTTGTTTATGATTTTTTTTCACATGTTTTGCATTTTTTTTTTACCTAAAATTGAATTCAATAGCTTGCGTATGAAAAATCATACCTTGGGCGGTAGAAGGTAAGACAGTTTTTTTTTACAGAAGCAAACTTTATAATCCTAATGATCCGGTGGATGCTGAGCAACTTTTGAACATTTTAGAGGAACTAGATTCTGACGACGAAGAGATGGAACCCATACGAGATAGTTCTCAAATCGATCTTATCTTGATGCCACCTCTTGATGGTGCTGACAGTGATAGAGACGATGCTGATAGCGATGACGAGCCTTTAGGTACTATTAGAGATATTGGCAAAGGGGTTCTCAAACAGCCGATGGAAATCATATGTCACAAAAACGGAGAACAAAATATTGTCCATTTGGACGCGTCTAATGTAGAAGCCGCAAACATAGACGAACAAACTGTACAGGAATTTAGTTCTGATGATGAAATACCCCTGGCAAAAAAATTTAAAAAAGAACTATATGTAAAACATACCAAAAGTCGTAAATGGGAAGAAAAAACGTTAAGACAAGGTGAAAAAATAACAATTAACAAATCTCGTTCCCCGCATATTGTAAAATTTATTATTGATAATAATGCGGAACCAGTCGAAATTTTCCGAACTTTTTTTGATGAGGAGTTTATGCAATTTATTTGTGATGAGTCTAAGAAATATGCCAAACTGAAAGGACATCACAATTTTGACGTTTCAACTAAGGAATTGTACATATATTTTGCAATTCTGTTACTATCTGGCTACATCAAAGCACCACATAGACGTATGTATTGGGAGACGAAGGCAGATTCTTACAATTCACTGGTCAGTAATAGCATTTCGAGAAACCGCTTCGAAAGTATTCATCGTTTTTTGCACTTTAACGATAATTCTAAGATCGATACCAAAAACAGATGCTACAAAATTCAGCCGTTACTGGATCATGTCAATAAAAAATCTCTAGAATTTTGTCAACCTCTGGGTAGTTCGTTTTCATTAGATGAGGCGATGGAGCCTTATTATGGACACCACAATTTAAAGCAGTTTATAAAGGGCAAACCAATTCGGTATGGTTTTAAGTTTTGGTGTCTTACTTCGTCGGACGGTTATCTTTTCAAATTTAGTCCGTATTGTGGGGCAGGAGACAAAATTGAAGGATTTACTTTAGGAACAAGTGTAACAGAAAAATTATGTCTCAATTATATTCCAAAAGGTTCTACGGTTTATCTAGATAACTTTTTTAATTCCCTTTCATTGCTCCATAATCTTCGAGCTTATGATATAAATTGCGTTGGTACAATTCGAGCAGACAGAATTGATAAAGCGCCTCTCAAAGATCTGAAGAAAGAAAAACGTGGAAGTTCTTATGTGTTACAAGAAAAGGAAGGTAGTATTACACTGGTGAGATGGCATGATAATAATCAAGTTAATATAGCAACAAACCTAATCAACAATGACATATGCTTATCTAAGGGTTCGTGCAAGCGATGGTCTAGAAAGGATAAAAGTACAGTGTCAATTGAACAACCATCTTTGGTCAGCATATATAAACAAGGAATGGGGGGAGTTGATTTGTTTGATAAAATGAGAGGCTTATATCGCATTCTCATACGTTCCAAAAAGTGGTATTGACCATATGTAAGATTTTGTTTTAACGGAGCAGTTGTAAATATGTGGATGCTGTATAGATTTGCACATCCAAAAGTTGGTTTACTAGAATTCGTTCGCAGAACAGTTTTAGCTTTGCTTTCATCGCCTCCACATTTGGGTGGACCAAAACCAAAATGTACTAGAGCCGTTTTGCCCGAAATTAGATACGATGGCGTGGATCACCTGGTAGATAGCAACAGCACTCAACGAAAATGCGGCTTTTGTGGGAAATGTGCTAAGTTTGTATGTGTTAAGTGCAATGTAGGCCTCCATCCAGCACATTGTTTTAGAGCCTACCACACACCATAATAAATATTTTGTGAAAAAAGTAGTATTTTTTTATTAATTTTTCAATAAAAGTTTTTTACACATACACTCTTTTGACCAGCGTATGAAATATCATACGATAAAATAAACATAGTTAACAAAAAAAAAAGTTGTTTTTTTTGCTAGTTTGTGTTTAGAAGGGCTATTGCATTAAGTTTTGCTAATTTTTATCAAAATAATAAAAAAAAAATTACTCGGGCATTAATGGGTTAAGAGGGATTGTTGCCTAACAAGGTCGAGGAAATGAAAGGAGTTGATGTGGGTCAATCTATTTCGTTGAATATGCTTAGACGCATGTATGGGATTTTGTGTCTAATATGTTTGGTCATATTATGTTTTCTAATATTTGTCAAGTCTTGCGTGAGTCTGCTAAATGTTAGTCAGTTTTTGTAAAAGTTGTACGATAGCTTGACGATATAAGTCCTGAGGAGTTCGGTTTTCGTTATGTCATGTAAGTCGGTAATTTTTGTATATCTTGATGAGCTTGTTGTTTCTGGAAGCGTTGCAGTTTTAATAATGCGGTGTCGCTAACCCCGCACCAGACTGGTGCTGCATAGGTATAAACTGTGTATTGTTCAATGTGTTGGTTAAGGAACTGTTTTTTGCGAAAAGTAGGTACACCGCCTTGAGCGTCGCTTCGGCTTTGTTTTTGGTTTGTGAGAGATGATGATTAAAGTTGAAACGGGAGTACAGGTAAACGCCTAGATACTAGGCGACCGGTTGGGTGTCTACCTGCCTTCCTTTCACTCTTAATTATGTGATTATTTTATTATTAGTGTATTTGCAACTGAATAAAACTATTTCTGTTTTATCTTGGTTTATCTCTACGAGCCACTCGTCGTAGCATTTTTTTATTATGTTCATATGCATTTGAACCTGTTTATTGGTCACGTCGGCGTAAAACGATCTTGCGTATACGGCGGTGTCTTCCGCGTATAGTGCTAGAATCGTGTACAAACAGCGAAAAAAGTCTGGGTCCAAGGATTGATCCTTGTGGTACGGTCTGCTTTAATTGATCTCGTGGTGGATAATTAATTTCCAGATTTTACAATTAATGTCATGTTTGTCAGATATGATTGTAATTATTTGATCGAGTTGATGGGTATTTTCGTATCTAGGAGTTTGGCGATTAATCCTTGGATCGAGACTCTGTCGAAGGCTTTACGTATGTCGAGTAGTGTCAATTGTGTTATGTTGTCCTTGTTAAAGTTATTAGTTATGTCAGTCACTATTCGTGTGATTTGTTGGATCGTATTGTGACCTTGTCGAAAGCCAAATTGCTCGTCCTGTGTTATTTTGAATTTTGTGTCGTATCTCGTCAATCTGTTAATAACTTTTTCTGCCAGTTCCCACGCTTGATAGTAGACTGATCGTGGATTACCCGGAGCGTCGGTAGCTTTGCTTTGTTTTGGCAGCAGTATTACTAAAGCACCCTTCCACGGTGTGGGGAAGTGCTGCAGCTTTATCGTGGAATTTATTATGTAATGAAGCTGATAGACCGACTTGCGGCCAAGCTGCTTTAATGCTTCATTAGTGATCTTGTCAAGGCCGGGCGCCTTGTTTTTCGGTAACTTTTTAATCAAGTCTCTAATCTCGCATGGGTTGGTCAGATTGTTTTTCGGGTAGTTTTTATCTATATCGTAATTGGTTTCTTCGACAGTGCGTGCCAAATTCATTATTACGCGCTGTCAGTCCGAAAAGCTGCGATTCTCGAGGTCTAGGTCAAGCGTCTTTTCGTAGAAATCGGCGAGCAAATTGGCTTTCTCCTGGTCTGTCATTGCCTTTTTCGAGTTGTAAGTCAAAGCTCCTATAGGTTCGCTCTTTCTTCTCAGTAGCTTGCTTATTTTAAATAGAGCGTTATCGCCTGCTTGTATTTTTTGTAGTTTTTCGCGCCAATTTTTGAATTACAACTCAAATGTGTTTGGCAAGCTCGTACATTTGTTTTTTATGCTTTCTTTGTTTCTAAGGGATATTAACTGTTTCGCGTGGTCGCCGATTTCCTCGTTTCGCTTTTTTGGTTTGATTAGGTAGGTGCTTCCCTCGTAACCTTTTTGGATTACGTTCGTGAAATCGGCGACCTCGCGATCCAGTTCCTCCGACGTTTTAATGTCAGTGTTTATCGTCACAAGTCCGTCAGTAGTCTTTCTGAATTTTGTCCAGTCTGTGAATTTTTTTGTTGCGTCATTTTTAAGTTGCGGCTGTTTTTCACGGAACGGTATCTCAACAATTACAGGATTATGGTTGGAGTGTAGGTCGGGTAGAGAGATCGGTCGGTATAGTGGCGTTACGTTTTTGGTCAGGTAGAAATTTATTGTGGTCGGAGTCATCTCGTTGTCGGGAAAATGGGTGGGTTCCTTGGGGAAACTAATTATTATGTCGTTGTCTTGTTGAGAACCATTGATTCCAATTGATCGCATTAAAATTACCTCCGATTATGATTTTATTTGCGATCGAAGAGTCGCTCAAGGTTGCGAGATTTTATCTTGTCTTGTGGGTACGGCCTATTGTATGCCGTGAAAATATGGATATTATTACTGAGGCGGATGCCGATTTGCTCGACCTCCGTGTCAATATTTTTTATAGGTGAGTACGGCACTTCTTTTATTAAAATTGCAACGCCTCCCGAGGCTTTGTCTGCGTCCGTCCGAAATTATTGCGTATTCGATCCATGACCCCAACTGCCTTATCGATACAAGCTCAACTTGCTCTTTGATAAATGAGTCTTTGGTGCATAAATTAAACCTCCCGAAAACATTTCGCGTTACTCCATTACAGTGGTTTGATGGGACCGTTCACGTCGCGCGATCTATTACCAAAGCTATGCTTGAATTTCCCGATGTGAGGGTCGAGCTAGACCTCGTTGTAGTACCATCTAAAAATTGTAATTACGATGTTGTTTTGGGCGAAAACATTTATGATTTTAACGTAATGTTAGTAAAAGATAAAGACTCTCAAATCACACTTCCTAAAATAGGAATAAATGTTGTTTCAGCGTTGCCTATCGGCGACGAGGTGGTTACGTATTTATCGTCCGGCGATAAAAAACGCTTACAAAGCATCCTCGCAGAATTCTCGCAAATTATTACGAAAAGCAATCGTGTTCAAGCAGTTAAAATGGGCGAATTGAGTATCACTTTAACGGAAAATACGATCATTTACCACCATCCATATCGCATGTCAGAATTGGAACGTTTACGAGTGAGAAACATCGTGAGTGATCTGATTAAAAATGAAATTATACACGAAAGTAATTCGCCTATTGCCAGTCCAGCAATTTTGGTACAAAAAAAAAACGGTACCGATCGCCTGTGCGTGGATTACCGCGCTCTTAACAGAGTTACCGTCAAAGACCGATATCCTTTACTGAGAATAGACGACCAATTGGATCGATTAGGTTTAGGATTAGATTTTTTACGTCTCTAGATATGGCTTCTGGGTTTCACCAGATTCCTGTCGCACCTGATTCGATCGCGAAGACCGCATTCGTGACCCCAGATGGGCAGTTCGAGTACCTCCGAATGCCATTCGGCCTTGCGAACGCACCGGCGGTGTTTCAAAAGGCAATTAACGTGGCACTGGGTAATTTGAAGTACAATGTCGCCTTGGTTTACATGGACGACATCCTCATACCTTCGGTTTCGGTTTCGGAAGGTCTCGAAAAATTAAAATTGGTTCTTGCTGCTATGAAAAAGGCCGGTTTCTCTACGAAATCTTACTAAATGCCGATTCTTGATGAAAACGATCACATATTTAGGACGCGAAATTTCGTGTGATGGAATTAGACCCGATCCATATAAAATTGAGGCGATTCGGAATACTCACGCTCCCGCAACTGTCAAACAGGTGAGGCAGTTTGTGGGGCTGGTCAGCTATTTTCGTAAATTTATACCTGCATTTTCAACAAAAATCGCCTGCATAACGCATCTAACTAGAAACGATGTCCCATTCAATTGGTCTTCCGACTGCGACAACGTCAGACAGTATGTAATAGACGTTTTAACACAAAAACCACTTCTCTCAATTTTTGATCCTGCATTAGAAACACAACTACATACAGATGCGAGTTCTCTTGGGTTCGGTGCTATTTTGCTTCAAAAGCACGGAGAATCGTTTCGACCGGTTGAATATTTTAGTCGAAAAACCTCTCCCGACGAGAGCAGGTATCACTCGTTTGATCTTGAAACGCTAGCCGTTGTCAAGGCACTCAAGAAGTTCCGTGTATACCTTCTTGGTGTCAAATTTACTCTCGTCGCAGACTGTAATTCTCTGAAACTATCCGCTACAAAAAAAGATTTGAAACCGCGTACTGCACGTTGGTGGGCGTACATGCAAGATTTTGACTTCAAAATTCAGTACCGAAAAGGGGCTACCCTCGCCCACGTTGACTTTTTAAGCAGAAACCCAATTGAAACCGTCAACCAAGTTGGCTCAGGGCCTATTAACTTCAAAAATTGGCTTCGTGTTGGACAAGCTCAGGACAAAGAATGTTCTCAAATTAAGACAGCTATCAAACATGATGACTCTAGCGTAAAGAAATTGTAAAAGTTTAAAAATAACACCCTGTTTCGTATAATTACTTCCGAAAATGGTCAATCCGAAGAGATATTATTTGTCCCAGCTAACAACCGATATAATCTATTGCAAATTTTTCACGACGATCAGTGCCATGTTGGTTGGGAAAAAACCCTTGCCTCAATATTTATTTTATTACTATTTTTCCTGTGTCCCCATACAAATAAGAGAACTCTCCCTCCTTCCCTAACCAATTGGATTTTTTCCATCCGTAATCTCGAATACATTTGGCGAAAGTTACGAGGAGAAGGTTTTAAGTATCTTATACCAAGAAATTTAATCGGTGCAAATAATATTACCATCACAACATCAAATATACTCATAGTTGTTGTTCCTTTCGAAGTAAGTAGATCATCTACTTTTGGTGCAGAAGTCGCCACTTATGTTGCCAGATACGTGGTAAAAAATATAAAAAAATACACCAAGAATTGTCAGCAATGTTTGGCCCTTATGAGCGCAGATTCCCACCATAGACAACATGGTCTCATTCTTGCCCGACAGTAGAAAAATAGTCACCTTTTGCGTCCCTCTACATTATTCGTTTTCCACTTTAAACATCTGTTAACTATTTTACATACAATGTTACCAGTGAATATGTTAATTTATAATTTAAAAACTGTTCTATTTAAATATGTACAAGATAATGATACTTTTGACCTTCTAAAAGCTCTATTTTGCGATAAGTACACTTCTGCTAGAGACGTTTTTATTAACACTACAGTTAATTTGTTGGTATTTACATACCTTAAAAATATGAACAGAATTTTGTCTGGAAAAGATCTCCGAAATGTAGAGGCCACACAAAATCCCATCAAAAAACTAGCCTATCTAAAATTTCTCAAAAGCAAGAAAAAATAGTTATAATTAGACCTAATGAAAAAATACCTTTTTTTTTGTTTGTATTGCTCCAATTAATTTTTTACAAATTTTGTATACATTATTGTTTTATATAATAATACTCGTGTATAATAAATATAAACGTTTGTTCCCCATTTTGTGTATTCATTTGAATTTCAGTTGAAATTATTATTGCTTATTGAAAGTATGTAATCATATTTAATTCACCCGCCTTTTTTTATTTTAGTAATTTACAGAAATCGAATGCATGATTTTTGGAAAGTACTGGTTGTAGGTATTAAGATGGCGCTGTTGGCAACGACCAAATTTTCAGACAAGAGATGCCATTCTATATCTTTTATTTTCTATGGTTCAAAAGCTGTCCCCGCGCTGCGTCCGGTGCGTGCGAGACAGCCACTGGACTCGAGACTGTCCGTATAAAGAAGTCAAAGATAAACATCCAGCCAGGTCTGCGAATTGTGAAGGCGAACACGCCGCGTGCGAGGGAGAATGCCCTGTATATCAGAGTAGGATGAAATATATTGCAGACCAGATGAAACAGAGACAAAAAGTAATCGCAGGCGCAGCGCAAAAACCGGTCCGCACCGCCTCCAACCCACAACGTCTGGCAATAAAGAATGTCAGCAGTAGCGACGTGACGAATGGAAAGTCCCGAACTTAGACAAGGTAGGGACGCCCCAAGTAGTAATAAAACAAATATACAATCAAAGCCGCCAAAAAATAATACAGTAAGCCAGGTGTCGGCAACCTGCGGCCCGCCGTAAACTTTTGTGCGGCCCGCTTGAGCTCCAGACAAAATAACTGCATAATTACATAAGTTGGGATCTACAAAACCCGAAAATGCTGTAAAAGGACAAAAGTGGGCTATCATATATTTTAGAAATATTTGTACCATCTGTACTCAGTAAACTGCACCGGAAATAGGCGGTACACAAGGTTGTTTGCCTGGAAATGCACACATTTTTTGTGACACGCTTGCAACTAGTTCGGTGTCCACTTACTCCAAAAGAGTGTGAATTATAGGAACGTGTGGCTTCTATAATCCTAATCTATTTTGTGGCGAATATCAGTGTCATCACATTGTCTTGCAGTGCCAAATTAATTTGATAAGAAAAAATATAATATTATTGCTATACAATTTACATTGAAAGGTAAGTTAATACAACGTATTTTTTTGTTAAATTTGACATCAATTGATTGTATTTTTACATTTTAACACTTAAATTAGAAAAAAGAGGTATTCTATATTTTTTTTTTGAAAAATATTCATTGCTTTTTATTGCAAAACTTGTAATTAGCAACACATAAGTTTTTTTTCTTTTGTTATTATTATTATTTTTTTGTTTTAGTTAAAATGAATAAAACTCCAAAAAGAAGAAAGTTAAATGAAGAAAACCGCGTATTTAATGAAAAATGGACTTTTGATTACTTTTTCATTAACAACTTTAATAAAGCATTATGCTTAATTTGCAAAAGAAACTGTAAATGTTTTTAAAGAATTTAATTTACGCCGTCATTACGACACGAAGCATAAAGATGAGTACGATCAATTAGAATCGCAATTGAGGCAAAATAAAGTAGATTCTTTGAAAAAGTCATTACATGCCCAACAAAACATTTTTAAAAAGTGTGATGAACAAAATTCAGCGTTAGTTAAAACGAGTTTTTGTAATTTGCTTCCATTTTGATTCTCTAATAGAGCTATTAACGAACGCGACGTCATCATCTGCGATGTCATAATAGTCATTATTTAACGGAACATTTTACGAAAAACTTAGGTTGGTAAAACTGTCAACGTGTCATGACTTCCATGTCAACATGTCAACATTGTGCATCAAATTTGACATTTTAGATGTTTAGTATTTAATATTGTAACTGTGATTTATTATTTTTACTGAATAGAAAATGCGCGTTCGAACAAATAAATAGAAGAAATAATCTTGTGGAAACTGTACACAGGGCACAGGAGTGTGGTATGCTGGTGTGGACACAGTTGCGAGGGCTGCTTTTATATATCAGCCACATGAAGGTAAAATTAATTTGGTAGAAAATAGTGAAGCAAATCGTTTTTCTAGGGCTGCAACATAAAAGGTGAATGCTTCATGTAGCATCTTACGATTACCAAATGGTGGATCATCACCAAAGGCGTTGAAGTGACAGAGAAGTTTATCATCTATGATAACATTACGTGCAATGACAAAATAACTACATGTGCCACAGGTATATTTCATCAAGCATTTCTTCATTAAGTATCCACAGACATAACTTAAAGAATTTTGTTCCCCCATGTCCAGATGTCTGTAGTTTGTCGTATTTACTTCCACAGATTTACAGACAAAAGTTGTTCAGCTTAAAACTGTACTCATAATTTGACACTGGTGACTCTCTTTAGATTCAATTGCTACTAAAATAGATCCTAAATCATTACAACTATTGACATTTTTATTGTGCTGTAAAAATTGCTTGCTAAATAATTTTTTATTGATTATAGAATAATATAATTCTTTATATATTTCTTATCTTACAGATTTCAAGAGAAATTTAAAGAAGCTGCTGAAGCAGGTTTTTTCATTGTGCCTGCAATTACGAGGTGGTCTACCACTGCAGTCCATGTTACTATGAAAAGGTTCTCACAATCACTTCACTAATTTCACTAGCAACAAATATTCAACCAAAAACAAAGTACTTTTCCCAGGGAAGATGAAAACAACAGCGTTCACTTTCTGACTCTTCAAACGGTTCACATTTGGCGAAAATTGAAGGCATTGACAAAATAGTTGTCAATGCCTTGTTAAATAGTTGTTAAATGTTTATGTTGAAATTAACTTGGTAAAGTGATAGACTTTTACTAATAAATATGTAAAATAAATATAAGCACAATTCTTTTTTATTGTTCAAAAAGGTATTTTCTTCGTGGTCTTCATACCACGCTTCAAATATTGGTTTCAGTTTTTTAATATTGATCCAATGTTTATATTATTTCTTTTTATGTTGTCTTACGAACTTGTGTCACAGTATAGATATCAATTGATGTCTATACTGTGCTTGTATTTGTAATTTAGGCAACCAATATTCCACTTCGTTTCAAATATTCCGCCTAATAAAAACGGTTGGATAAGGACACCGTTGTTCCTATATTTGACGAACTGTCCCTCCTGAATGATATACTGTGTGTCAATTCATCGGGAAAGAAGAAGTAAGAAGTGTCCAGCGGAAAAATTTGATTTGGACAAATACAGGGTTTATATATTTGCAGTAATAGTTGTATTTTTACCATTATTGCTCGTTTTACCACCGAAGAAAATTAAATAACATAAACAATGGATTCATAGAAATTAAATTTGTTAGAACGTACCTACAATTATACAATTATACATATGGTCGTAATAAACAGTATTAATACAAGTTTGATTTCTTAGTTCTAATGTTTATCTTAGCTTTAATTCACATTAATCAAATTATTTGAAAAAACGCGCTAGTTTTGTGAAACTCGCGCCATTTCGCTAGTGCGCTAGTTGTTCTGTGTGCGCTAGTAAAAGGAGTAACAGTCTAAAAGTGTGGTTACTGGTCTGTTAAAATCATTTCTAATCAACAATGTAATAAAGAAAGATTCTATTCCTACCGAAAGAAATGACAAACGTTAATTTGACATTGGTTGCTGGAAGGTACAATTATTATATATATTGATATTAACTTTGGAATTATCTTTAGAATTTACAGTTAACCCATGTGTCGAGGACAAATTTTGTTCATTGTTTTTGCTATCAGGAACTGTTTTGCTTCTGTCCGAATTTATGTTTATTTCTTGCTCCGAAGCTGTGGAAGTGGAGCATCCAGGTAAGTTTAAATCCTTTTGTTGTGCAAACATATTTGCGACATCAATTTTATTTTGCAGGGATGCTTCGACATAGGTTTCAGCAACTCCTGAACATTAAAACAGAACAGACATTAGTTTCCTCTCGAAATTAAAAACAAAGTGAACTACCTGAAGATTTCCATCCACCTAAGCGTTTTATTGTTAATAAATCGCCGCCAGAATTTGCGATATGTGTGGCACTAGATCGCCTAAAACAATGCCCTGTAAAATGTTCAGGATCTGATAATTTAAGAAAGGCAGCAATTATTTTAGGCACTTTTCCTATCATATTAATCCCCATAGGGCAATTAATACAATACCCATTACGGTACGTTAAAAAAAATCGCCGGTGGGTTACTCTTTTAGGCCTTAAGTTGGCATATTTTTTAATTAGGTGAATCCAATTTTCGTCTGTCACGAGGAAAGTTCTAGGGACATAATTTTTGGTTTTCGGTATAACGACCATTATGGAATCAGCTCTATATTGTATGTCATCTACACACATATTCGTCAACTCCTCTCGCCTACATGCTCCATTATAACCCATGATTAAGATAACCTGAAATAAATATCATAGTTGAATTTGAAGCTACAATAATGGTAACCTACTTTCATTGCCAGGTATGTCTTATCATCGGCATCACTCAGAAATGTGTTTATATTATTCTCTTCTAAAATTTTAGATTTTTTAGGAGTATAATGTTGAGATGCTCGTTTCAATAAAGCCTGCAATTTGTTGAATTTCGAAATATCAACGTTTTTGTGTACACTCAAGCAGGACCTTAACATCGAGTAAATTGTCCATAACGTCGATGGCTTGTATTTTGTACGCTTAAGTTCAAAATATCCAAGTAGGACGTTTTCGGAGATGACGTGAATATTATTTTGGTTGCACCATGATTCGAATTTTTCGTACTGTTTCATATACTCCTCACGAGATTTATCAGGTAGTAAGTTTTGAACCGTATTTTTGGCAATTTCACGGATTTCCGGAGGCGTACATAAAATGTTGTCTTGATTGTCTTCCATTTTAGTACTTTGTGACATTATAAAACAAAAGCCGACTAGATTAAATTTTCACTTTTAAATTTAAAAGATCATTGCCAGTAAGTACCAACTGTCACAAAAATCCCTAAATCGGCGAAATGAAAATTTTTTTTCGAAAAACGGCATAAAATGGCAAATTACAAAAAACTGTATAAAACACTCGTTTCATAAGACCCTAAAGCACTCATTCTTTAAAAAAACTCGTGGCTACGCCACTCGTTTTTTTAAACTTGAATTCGTGCTTTAAGATTTGTCTTATGAAACTTGTTTTTTAATATACTATTACAAATTTCAAAATTAATTGCTGAACACGGCGAAGCATTTACTGATGGAGAGTTTATTAAAAAGTGCATTTTAACTGCGGTGAATGAAGCAATCATTTCGGTCAGGACGATTGCCAAACGATTGGAAAACTGCCACCATCACACCTGTGTTCAAAAAAGGGGACAAGTTTAATGCGGCGAACTATAGGCCTATAAGTTTAACTTCAGTAGTAGTGAAACTAATGGAATGTATCATCTACGATCAGTTGGTGGCGTTTTTAACAGCACACCAGGTTATACCTCGTGAGCAACATGGTTTCACACCTGGAAAGTCCATAGCGACCAATTTGCTCTGTTGTTTAGACAACTGGACTAGAGAACTCGATTCTGGTGGCTCAGTAGATATCGCGTATTTTGATTTTTCGAAGGCTTTCGATCGTGTGCCGAAACGCCGACTCCTTTTGAAATTACGACATTATGGAATCCAAGATAGTCTTCTCAGGTGGATTGAATCTTTTCTTTCTGACCGAATATTTAAGGTTAAGGTTGGTGATATGTTTAGTTCTCCTTTTCCAGTTCTGAGCGGTGTACCACAGGGCTCTGTATTAGGACCCTTGTTGTTTTTAGCGTATGTATCCGACATAAAAGACTGCTTAATTTCTCCTTGGGCAATGTATGCTGACGATTTGAAAATCTACAATATTTGTTCCAATTATGAAGTCTTAACGAAGGATATAGCAACTATTTATAACTGGTCACTAAAATGGTTACTTCCAATTAATGCGGACAAATGTAATATCCTTTATTTAGGCAGCGACAATCCAAAGCAAACTTATTATATCAACGGCACCGAGCTTACCAAGTGTGTTTCTTTGTCGGATATGGGTGTTATCGTAACGTCTACTTTGACATGGTCTGAACATATCACAAAAGTCGTGAAAAAAGCCAACAAGATACTATATCTTCTCGGAAAGACATTTGCTAAAGCTGATGTAAATACTGTAACTAAACTGTATAAAACTTATGTTAGACCGATATTAGAATATGCCAACTGCGTTTGGGTTCCAACATTACAACGTGATATCAATTTACTAGAATCTGTCCAGCGTCGTGCCACAAGAATACCGTACGGACAAGTGCGCCCCTCTTACCCTGACAGACTTAATCTTATGAAATTGCCATCGTTAGCCGACAGGCGTGTAAGAGGTGACATGTTGACAACATTTCAGGCTTTTACAAATATTAGTTCACCTATCAGACATCTTTTTCCTGTCAACATTGATGGACGAACCAGAGGTCACCGGTTCAAATTGGAGAAGGACAATTTTCGGACTTCCATTCGTCAGACGTTCGTCACTAACAGGGTATTCACCGAATGGAATGCATTACCCCCTGAAGTTGTTGAAAGTGCTTCCGTTCCTAGATTTAAGGTCAACTACGACACCTTTCGAAACCGTAGATAGCTGTAGTTATATCCATAATTTATTATATTTAAAATAATTTGTGATTGCATCAATTGTCGTCTTGCGCGGGCATAACAGACTTCGGTCTCTGCCCGAGCGCTTCATTTTAATAATAATAATAATAATAATGAAATTTGTCCGGATAAAATTAAGACATTTGCAAATATTAGTTTGTCTGCGCGCACAGTAGTTCGCCGAATTGAAGATATATCGACAAATATGTTTTGTAAATTAAAAGGAATGTCTACAAAATTTGAATATTTTTCACTTGCTCTTGATGAAAGCAACGATATTACTAGTACCGCTCAACTGTTGATTTTTATCCGTGGAATTGATAAACAATTTTGTGTAACGGAGGAACTAGCTGCACTGAAAAGTCTTCATGGAAGCACAAAAGGCGAAGAAATATTTTTGGAACTATTAAGGGCCGGTTTATAGAACAGCGAGTTAAATATTTAATCCTCGATTAGTTTAACAGAGAATTAAAATGTGGAATATGAGCCCGTGATTGGTTAAAATATGTGCGTTGCCTGGCAACGGACCTCAGTTAAAAGTTAATCGCGAATTAATTTTAACATCGCTTTCTATAAATCGGGTCTTAATGTTTTTAGTATTTACGATCTGAAATGGGAAAATTTGAGGTTGTGACAACAGATGGTGCCAAGAACATGACAGGTCATAATACAGGTTTAATGGGGTTGATTAATAGAAAAATCACGGAATTAAATATTACACCTACCCCTTTACAACTGCATTGCATTATTCATCAACATGCATTTTGTGCCAAAGTTGTTAGTTTGAAAAATGTTATGGACACTGTAATATCAACCGTTAATTACATTCGCAAAAATGGTATGAATCATCGAAGTTTTCGAGAATTCTTAAATGACATCGATGCAGAATATGAAGATATTATGTACTTTTCTGAAGTAAGGTGGCTTAGTCGTGGAAAAGTTTTAAAAAGATTTTTTGATTTGAGACTTGAAATTGAAATATTTTTGACAGACAAAGAAAAGAGTATACCAGAAATATCGAATTTTCAGTGGGTAAGCGAGTTAGCTTTTCTTGTTGACATTACAACTTACATCAATAAATTAAATATAATTCTACAAAGAAAAGGAAAATTAATTAATGAGTTATTTACAGAAATTAAAAGTTTTCGGTTAAAACTAAAATTGTTTATTTCACAAATTGAGAGGAATAATTATTGTCATTTTCCTACTTTACAATCAGTGTTAACAAGAAATGATAAACAGTGTATTTCTAATGATGTTAATTCTTTGAGATTACTGGAAGAAAATTTCTGTTTGCGATTTAAAGATTTTTTTGAGCAAGAACGTGACATCGAAATATTTGAAAATCCTTTTAACTTTAATGTGACAAATGCACCGGAAAATTTACAACTAGAACTAATAGATTTACAGGCAAATAGTATATATAAAAATAATTTTGATGAAAATAATTTAACACTGTTTTATTCAAGCCTACCCGAAAATAAATTTCCAAATGTTAAGAATTTTGCAAAATCAATGATTTGCATTTTTGGAAGTATGTACATACTTATTTGTGCGAACAAACGTTTTCGCGGATGAATATTATTAAAACAAAATACAGGACAAGATTGGCTGATGACAATTTACAAAACATTCTCAGGATTTCTGTATCGCAAACTGATGCCGACTTGGATGAATTGGCAAAAATGATACAGCAGCAAAAGTCGCACTGAATTGTAATGTCACTTCTCAACAAAATCAGGTTTTTTATTTATGTGATTATATTATTAGATTTTATTTTTATTGTCTTATTATAACATATTAATCCTAATAAAATTGTTTCTGTATAAAGATTTTTTTTGCTGTGCGGCCCGCGTAAATTTTTTTTTTTTTTTTGAAGTGGCCCACTCTCCTAAAAAGGTTGCCGACTCCTGCAGTAAGCAATCCAAATACAAACTGAGAACGAGGCAAATAACTTTATGCAGCTAAATGCAGAGCTGAAAAAGCTCTCGCAAGCAATTAATATCAAAAATATGATCCGGTCCGTGCGGGATCTCACCAACAAGCTGAGCTCCTGCACGACCGGACAAAAATTTATAGTAAAGTTAGAGTTCATGACAAATAATTTTGCTGATTATGGTTTATAAAAACTTGATAATTGCACAATATAACGCAAACGGGATATTAAGTAAAACAGTAGAAGTAATGGCCTTTACACATCTTAAAAGTAACCACAAATTCAGAATCAAAAATTATGCCGTTTACCGTAAAAATAGCATGGAGCGGGGTGGCACTTCTAGTCAGAAGTGACATCTCGCACAGCGAGACTAAAATCATATTAAATAGTTCGATAGAAACGACTGCAATTCCACTAATAGACAGTACAACAGTAGCGGTAGTGTACAACAAGCCATCCAACAAACTCAAAAATACAGACTTGGACGCATTATCCAGACTTTTCCGCAAATTAATAACAGTTGGTGACCTCAAATCGCGACATACGAGAACAAATTACTAGACTATCTCAACAACAGTAATCTAATCTTTCACCCAAATACCGAACCCACCCACTATCCCGCAAACGGCTCAACACCAACGCCGACAGATCACACTATCACACTAAAAATATAAACGTCACAGCGCCTCGGGTAGTTTCTGCATTGAATTCGGATCACAGACTTGTCCTGATAGAAGTCCCAAATCAGTTTTTTGAAAAACGAACAATCAAAATTGAATCTTATCTAAAAATGCCAACTGGCAAAAATTTCGGCAACATCTTAATCAAAATTTAAAAATAAATAATGAAATAAACAACACAGACATTTTAGAGCAGAGGTACAAACATTTATATATACATTACAAGCAGCAAAATGCCTAGTAGTAACAACAAAAAATATCAACCCATACAAGGATCAACTCCCTGATACAATAAAAACCCAACTTGCAAAGTGAAACAAAATCAGAAAAATATATCAACGAACAAGAAACCGACAATATTTCAAAATCGTTAAAACAATGAACAATGACATTAAAGCAGCAATTAAAAAATATCGTAATGATAAGTGGAGGACAAAGCACGCCAACTAAATCCTGACGACTATTCATTGTGGAAACTAACCAAGGCGCTAAAAAAGAAATACGATCCAATTGCGACAGTCCAGCACAACAACCGGTCGGAGCGAACCCGCTACTACGCTGTTCCTCATCTAAACGACCTCGCTGTGAAGACAGTAAACGACAAATGGCAAAAGAAGTTTGCGATGTAATTATTACTAATGTCTCGTCCCCAACACAATCTTTATTTAGTTTTAGTTTAATTTGTATCGCTTGGTGCAGTACTGCACCCGCAACCCTCGCTACACTGGTGGCCGATCTATTGCGGCCCTTTTTTGCTTTTGGTGACCGCTTGAGTAGCAACAAGTCGAGTGGACTGGACGCGCATTGTGAAGTCGTAGTCGTACCGGCAGCGACATAACCCGCCATCTTGTCGTTGATCCCGCTTTATGATTCCCGCTATTCTTATAACCCCGCTATTGTAGTACCCGCTATTCTTATAACC